GCTTCTGATAGCCAGTGCTTACAGTGAGTTTTTGATGGCCCCTGAGTTAAATTCTTATGTTCCCAAAGACCTAGTTCCAATCCCCAGTGTCTTTATAACATGGAACTAGATGCTTTTGTCTAACAGGTCAGTTTTTGTATAACTTTGCAAGTCTTAAAGATAGTTGCAGATGAAAGGATTCAATCAAAGCCATAGTTTAAGGGACTGCATTAATCCCTGCCCCACCATTCTCTCTGAGCCCACTACCCCAAAACTGCTAACCATGGATGGTGGAAAGAGGTACCAGATGAGCTTGGATTTGGCTGAAAACTAAGAGTCAGAGCTGGTGATGCTAGCAAACTTTAGCCTTTGTAAAAATTTGCTCATTTGGGCTGGCAAGGTGGAAAAATACCAGGATTGTCGTTTAGTAACCTTGGAAGAGGGGGTTGAACCATTTGCTCTGTTCAGAGAGCAAAGAAGTGTTTGTTGGCCCTTTTCCTCTCTCTAGCAAGCCAGGAGGTAAACAAACATGTAATTTGTAACAGTCTGCCTGGAAACCATTCTTTTTACCTTGTGATGGGTCATATTTCAGAGCTTTTTCCTATTTACTTTTTACTCCAGGAGCACAGCTGAAAAAGAAGAAAACTAAAGATTTCTAAGGAGGAAAAAGTAGGGGTGAATTAGTCAGGGGGACTTTTAGGGCAGATTAGATTTCAGCTGGTTCTTCACATAGCAAGTGGCCCTTGGCAAACAATTGTGGGGAGCCAGAAACTTCTTGTGGGATACAGGTTTTATAGAAGCAGTGAAGTGGAAATGTGTGGGCTATTGCCAGCTGAATGTTTTATATTTACTTTTTGACATATATTTATACTAGAATTAACGGATCACTTTTTTTACATTGATTGTTACAGCACAATTCTTTCATAGTGGCACTCTAAGGTTAGCAGGTGAATATTTTGGCCAATTCCTGTAAAAGATGAAGAAAAAGCAACACAAAAATTATGATCTACTTCTGCAGTCAATTGGGAGCCAAATGCAGCTTAACCTGATTTCTGAATCAATCCATTTTCTATGTTTTTGTAATACATCGAACCATAAACAGCTAAGTGGGCTGGTTTGCCCAAAATATCAAGCCTTATATACCCACAATGAATAAAATTAAACAAGTTTGGTCAGTGGTGGTATTCAGTCGGTTCTATCCAGTTCGGGCAAACCATTAACGGCGACTGTGGGAGACTCCACCCACCTGCCAGATGTCATGATGTCCTGTTTTTGAAGCTCTGCATATGCGTGGAAGTAACGAAGGTAAGTTAATACTACCCCTGAGTTTGGTATGAAATCTGCAAGCAACCACTGGTTCTTTAATTGACCTTCATGAGCTTATTGTAATATATGAACCAGTTATTGAAGATACTATATATCAGTGATGGCTAATCTTTTCCGGACCAAGTATCCAAAGCGCACCCGAACCCCCAAAATGCAGTGCACGTGTGGCCCCCATGCATGCGCCCCAGCCCCCGCACATGCGCCATGATCCCGTGCATGCATGCGAGGCCACCTGCATGCGCCCACCCCTGCTCATGCGCACATGCCCCCTGCACGTGCCTGGATCCCCTGTGCATGCGTGCCCACCCCACGCATGTGTGGCAGAAACCCAAAAACCAGCTGGCCGGCAGGAGGCGCGTGCATATGCGCAGTGAAGCTGAACTGGGGTGACGGCTCGTGTGCCCACAGAGAGGGTGCTGCGTGCCACCTGTGGCACGCATGCCATAGGTTCGCCATCACGGGTATATATACATGGATATCATGAATTAAATTTGGGGAGTACAGTTCACATGAAGGAAAAGATGAAATAGATTTATATCTTATTCTTTCTTTCTCTCACTTGATTTGAAAGCAATTCAGGCTTCATATCTGAAAGTGAATGTCTTATGCCCTTTTACACGGCATTCAATGAATCAACAGTTTGATCAAGAGTCTAGACTGGTCTAGAGTATGAATCAACTATTGATATGACTGTAAAGAAGTTTAATACAGTTTTAGTCTGTATTAACAAGTCACAAGAAGTAGTGCTGTTCTTCTTAGGTATTATTGGCAATATTGTATTCCCGGCTTGTACCCTACATTTATGGACCACAATTATAGGCAAAGGATAATTCAATGTAGTGAATAAAAGTACCAATATTTTGACAGCAGTTGACAAATGACAAGAAGAAAACTATCATGTTCTAAGGCAAAGTCTCAACTTCTAGCATCATCTTCATTTCCAAGAATGCTTTCAGGCCTCCCAGCAACATTCATAGAAAATAAGGGAGGGAGGAGGGGGAGGGGGAGGAGGAGGAAGCAAAGGAGTAATGAGGAAAATTAGAGGCAGTTTGTCTTAGTGCTTCATAAACTCCAAGGTCAACATATTTACCCCTTCTTAAGCAGCTTTTCCTAAAAGCAAAACAACAAATGTCTTGCCGGATACTCTGGTATAGGTAGTTGTAGCAGGAATGCTGGAATTGCTCATGTATATTTCCCTCTTTCTTGTCACTCAAAGGCCAATATTCCCACCAGTTTCAAAGTTTTCCAGGACATACTGCAAGTTCATCCTGCCATTGTCAATTCATTTCCTTTTACTCCTTATTGCGCAAACCCTCTTTTGTTAATCTGTAACAGGATGGTTGGAACTGATACGCCACTTTATATGCTTTGCTGGGGATCTTTGATGTGGTGCTTATAAGGATGGGCCATGCTCCCCACCAAGAACCCTTCCCCCACTTGATTATTTCTAAAAGATAGTTGTAAATTTAAAGAATGATTACAGTATTTATTGATTTATTTAGTTTTTACAATATTATCTGACATCCAGAGCTGGGTGGTACAGGGTGCAACAAATCCTCCCAAAATGCAAATTAAATCTAAACCATTAAAATAATACCCCATGCAAACCATTTATTACTATCACAGTGGGCAAACCAATATTTCTCAAACTCTTTTGTGAGTTTTGGGCTGGATGCAGTAGCTGAAATTACAAAATATACGTATGGAACTTGAAATGGTTTTTGGAGTTGTTTTACCCTGAAAGGTGCCAGAATTGTACTACTGGAAATAAGGGTAGGGAAGCCATAGGAGACTCATGGGCTGGAGGGTTTGGAGGTGTCAAACAAAGCACTAATCCACATTACAAGGATGCCTTTGTGTCCTTGGGCATTTTTTTTAAAAAATGGAAACGTTGACATTCCAATATCTCATTTTGAAATGTGCCATCTGCCCAGAAAAAAAGAGAAGTAAAATTAGGGTGGACCACTTTGACATAGGAAACTTTATGAGGCTAGAATTGATGGCAAGGAAGAACCTCAGCCATCTAACCTTTTGCTGTCTGACAAATGCTATTTGGCTGGCCCCTTGTCATCCCACACTCTGGGCTCCAAATTCCAAAAGTGTGCAGCAAACCAAAAAGGTTCTGCGCAACTCTGATTTCATTTTGTAAAATGTCTGAGGGCGCCATAAATAAAAAATCCAACTTTTTATGTTGGAGGGTTCATTTGTGTTAATTGTTCCCCACTTTAGAATTGGCTATTCTCCGTTGTCTTGAATTACTATCAGTGTCTCTTCGAAGTATACACCACACCTCCAGGGAAGATTCCATATTCCTACACATAGGAAGCTGCCTATGTTGGCAAAAGGAAGATGTGCGGCCGGGATAGCATGAAAAGAATGTGGTTAAGGCGGCAGCATATAATTTTTCATGACTGAATTCCTAGAAAACTGCATTGAAGAAAAACATGTCCCCAGAAAATGACAGTTTGGAGATTTGTGGTCATATGCATGGATCTTAATTTATTTAGTCCAATATGTCCAATTTCCATAAACAATGTTTCAAGTGGGTGTTAAACTATGCAAAAAATCTTGCTGTTTTGTAGATATTCAACGTTTTCAATATACACAAATCTCAAATACTCAGAAACCATTTTGGCTGATTCTTTGAGGGATTTGTGCATTTGGGATAACTGCATGCACATTAAAGGAAATAATACAACCTACAAATCATTCTTATCCCAACCCAGTAAGTTAGTAAATTCTCCACATTACAGGGGGCCCGTCAAGGGGAGAGAGACAGCAACTAGCTTTATTAAAGCTATCAAGTGACATTTTACATTTTAATTCAACTGAGATGTGACCTGAAGTACAGACTTTCTTGCCTTATGCATGTTTGTTTCTTTATTCAGAACTAATCCCATTCTAGAGACATGGCCCTTTATTCCCTTTAATCTTGTTATACTTGCTGGAACAGGAGTTGGAAGGAAGGAAAAGAAGTAGCAACAGAAGATGTAAAATGGGGCAGTGACCAGGCCAGGCCAGGCAGGAGAAATGCATTAGAAGAAGTAAAAAAGAAACAAACAACCAGAATGTAAACATAGAATGAAAATTAGGAAACCTGTGGTATGAAGCAACTGAAAGGGGGAGAAAGAGTAAACGAAGCAGAAGGCAGAGCAAAAATAAAAAGAAATATATGTTTTTCTTACCCTTTTCTGTCATCCTAGCATAGCTGAAACCTGTGACCTATAGATATTTGCAGAACTACAATTCCCATCAACATTTGTAATGTATTATCTTGTTTAAGATTCCCTGGGATTGTAGTCCTGTGCTATTTGAATGCCATTCCTGCAGTACTATTTCTATCCCAGGTAATAGGTGCTAGCAATTTAATTTTTAGCTTTCCTGGTAATCCCATGGCTTCTTTCCCTTTCAGCCATCCGCACCAGCTTCTATATTCCACTTGCTCATAAACCAGGCTCTCCTATTTTCGCTGCTCTGCCCCATAGACTCAGATTTTCTTCTCCAGTCTTAGCCCCATCAGGGCTGCATTTGCAGCGACTCAAGATAATTTTTTCTCTCCACCTCCAGACTCCTTAGATTTGCAGTTTCAGTTGTCCTTGTTTTTTTCTCTCCCCCTCCCTCCCTCCCTCTCTCCTTGTCTTATCAGTCCAGACACCTGTCACTGCTGGAGCCTGTCCAGTGAGGAAGGAAGGATTATTAGCAGAGAAGCAAAGAACAAAACAAAGAGTGGACCTTGAGCACATATTGGAACAGCTTATACCATTTGCTGAAACAAGCTGGGAAGGGAGGGACTGGATTATTTGGGGACATCAAGATGCCTGCAAGCTTGCTGGAGAGCCACAGTCAGACTAGGGAGTCCAAATATCAAATCAGTTTAGTGGGTTGTCATTCATGTCTGCCAAACACATAGGAGGTTTCTAAAGAATGTATGGGAGAGTAGTAGAAGCTCTATGCAGGGAAACTAATATATCCATACATTAATTGGTATTTAAATTATTGTTAACAGTATGATGTTCTGAGACTCATTCCTCATCAAAAGAATTGTTTCCTCATTTGGCTTGTTCTTGTTCTGTTAGGATGATTGCTCTTAGAAATACAACCAAATCAAATCAGAATTCTTATCCTGCACAATTGCTATGATACAACAACACAGATCAAAAAATGCTGCTACCTGGTCACAGCACTGTATCCCTGATTCTTGGGACCAACATTTCTGGATTAAATTATGCTGACCTTTGATTTAGGATTGTGGCCAGAAATACTATAATGAAGGGATGGCATCTACAAGTATCTGGCATTATGTTCTGCTCTGAAAAGAATTTCACTGTGGATTTTCTTCCCACCAGAGTCGCTCTGCTGCTACTTCAAGTGCTAAGAGATTAAAATCTACTAAATTACAGCATTGTAATATCTCATGATTAGATCGTAGAGATAAACAACAAGCAAGCAGATTTCCAAGAAGTGTGCATGGTGGAAAGAGGTGGAAAAGAAATGAGGCAATTGTTCCCTGCCCCACCTCTGGAGGTAGGCCTGTCCAAAGTATACCTCGATATTCAGTTATTTGTACCATTCATCCAGATCAGTAAACAAAATAATCAGTTAAACTATAATCTGTGTTATTTCCAAGGCCAAAAAGTAATGTGGGAAAAGCGATGATATTGTACAAAGATACAGTGTGAAGAAAATGTATGTCTCTGCATGTGTTACATCTGGGGAGGATTCAGACCAACCTTCTATGTTCTCCCAGTCCAAGTTCCTGCAAAATTTTAAGTATTTTCTATGCCGTTTTCTTAACTTTTATACAGTTTGGAAAGCTGCCAACAGAGATGGAAAGTTTGATTGTGGTAGGACAATAGAAGTTGAAATCTCTTCAGCTCACCAAAAGGCCCTCAAGTGCAGTTTAAAATATCCATGGCTTTCTTTACAAAGCAATATTCTCAGTCTTCCCCAGTCTGAGGAGAATGTGGAACAATTTCTTTGGCTTTGAACAGGAAGTCTCTTTAGGTAACACTGAACTCCAAAATAAGGCCGTGGCTTTCCAGAAGACACAAACCAGAATATCTGCCATGTACAAGGGTTTATTTGTAAAGCTTCATCTTCTTCTAAAAGTGTCATTAAAAAATGTAGTGTGCTAGCCTTGTTCAATTGCTTGTGGCAAGTGTGCATATTAGTAAGAGGTAAAAATTTCCAGTCCAGTTGTGTCCAATTCTAGAAAGCAATGTTCATCTGTTTCTTAGCCAAGGGAGCCAGCATAGTCTGAAGACATTTCCGTGGTCATGTGGCCAGCATCACTATATGCCAAGGTGCATAGAATGCTGTTACCTTCCCACTAAAGTGGTACCTATTTATCTATTTGCATTCGCATGCTTTCAAATTTTTAAGTGGGCACGAGCTGGGAGAAGTAACGGGAAGTCATCCCATTACATGGCACTCGGGTCTTGAACCCGGCTCTCAGCTTTCCAGCTGACAAGCTCAGCATCTTTAACAGAGAAAGCACCAAATATATATTTTTGCATTTTTAATTACTTTGGTTGAGGGAAAATACCATTTTGCTTTTCATGGACAGCTTCAAGATGCTAATCACATTATAACACTGCCATTACCTTGGAAAATGGACTTGGTTGCCAGATTGTTCCCTCCCATCTCATCTCAGTGCCTCCTAGCTCAACAAGTCCCAGCATGAAAAAGGCCACAGGGTGAAGTTAAGAGTGCCCTGATGCACTCTAATATATTAATATAATTTATGCATGTACATTTTTTTCATACTCAAGGACTGGATGATGTTCACGCAGCTGTCATCCATCACAGCCCTCACCCTCAATTTGAAATAGAACTCAGCTGTTGTAATTTGCTATGCAAACCGTGGTTTAATGCCATGCTATATTTCTCTGTGAAAAACAGGCTTGTAACCAAGAGTCAAGAGCCAGCTTGGTGAAGTGAATAAAGACATCAGGCTAGAAACGGGAGACTTTGAGTTCTAGTCCTGCTTTAGGCACAAAGCCAGACTGAATTTGAGCCAGTTACTTTCTCCTCCTAAGAAAGGAGTCAATGGCAAACCACTTCCAAAATCTTGCCAAGAAAACTGCAGAGACTTGTCCAGGAAGTTTCCAGGAGACGAAGGCAACAAAACAAAAAGAATCAAAAATATCCAAGATATATTAGGATTTTTGCTACAGCAACTCCTTTGGCCACCTGCAAGCATAACACCAAGGCAGTAGCTATCGTATTATTTGTCCCCAACTTTTATTTTACCTCTTTGCAAATGTGTGGAACTGTAAAATGGGATTGGGGGAGGGGGGTCATTTTACTCAAGAGGGGATCAGTAATGGGTAACATCCAACAGCATCAAGACCCTACAAAGTTACATCAATGATATACACCACATACATGCTTCAACTTCAGATGCCCTTTGTTCCTTCAACTCATCACCAAGCCATGTTAAAAGTAATCTTTTAATCATCTTGATTGCAACCATAAAAGTGCTCCATTATTCTCAAATTAAAGATCCATGTGAATTTACTGAATTTAAGGCAACACTCTTGGGTTTCAGGTATGTCTTTCTCTACTCCTTAATGGGAAATCACAGCATGGGTTTCACCATTAAACTGCATTCTGTGCTATTTATGGCACATTATGATATGAACACAGTAGCTGGGATCACACATTGCTTTCAATGACAGTTTGTTGAACATACCATAATACTTTGGCTTACAAATAACACTATGTTATAAATAAAATAGTTTCCTATGTTTCGTATGACACAGCTTGTGAACAGAACCTTTAAGCATGTTATCTGAAAGTCGAGTCTTGGCAACTGGATTTTTCTTGCTGATTTGAAATGTTTCGCTGCTTATCCAAATAGCTTCTTCAATCTAAGCAAGTTAGTGTTAAACTTGTTGTCTTACCCATCGTTTATAGAACCAGGCATAGCTTAAATGCAGCAAATGACTGGCAACACACAAGGAAAGTCTTCACTGTCTATACAAGGATGGATCTGGTTTCTCTAGAGACCAACTTGTGGTCACCATCTAAGTAGCACTTCTATTTTCTTCCCACAAACATAGAAGCCATCATTTTCATTTCAAGGCAGGCAACTACTGGTATACACTGAAAAGTTAGGCCCGTGATGGCGAACCTATGGCACGTGTGCCACAGGTGGCACACGTAGCCATATCAGTAGGCACGCCAGCTCAGCTCAAAGAGAGGCTCTGGAGGCTGGGGGACAGCAAAAAACGCCACTTCCTGTCCAACCGGGAGTTGGGAAATGGGCTGTTTCAGGCCTCCAGAGGACCTCCGAGGGGGTAGGGAAGGCTGTTTTCGCCCTCTCCAGATGCATAAAGAGGATCTGGAGCCAGGTCAGAAAGAAAAACGGGCCTACTGGGTCATCGCATGCCAGGAGAGGGGGGAAGGGGGGTTGCGCACACATGCACAGGGCGGGGTGCATAAAATTATGGGTGTGGGCATGCCTGCGCGCAAACTTCCCCCTCCCCCCCCTCCCTGGCACACAATGGCAAAAAGGTTAGCCATCACTGAGTTAGGCCATTTAGAGCAGTTTTTCCCAAACTCATGGCTGGTTGAGTATTCTAGAAGTTGAACTCCATGCATCTTAAAAGCTGAGTTTGAAAAAGTTTTAGAACCTTCCCTAAGAAAGCCGGGGGGGGGAGCGTTAGCACCTCTTCAAGATTCAGTTTAATTATACGAGGACAGAATTTTAGAAAGTACCAGTTTATTTTATCAAATCAGTGACAATGAAAGTAAATATACAAGAAATATTCAAGCAACCAAAGGCAGACATGGGATCCATATTTTCCAAGCAATGCTAATCCAAAGTGTTTATATGCTGTATCTGCCTCCTACTCCCCAAAAAAACAATTCCTGAAGCAGACCCAATTTAAAAAAGAACGATGCTATTGCTGAAACAGAACCCTTGGCATAGGCTTAACTTTAGCCATATGTTTAAGCAATCCCATAATGACATGCTAAACATCATAGCATGAATTTGCTGCCAAGAGCAGAAAAGGGAGAACAGTCCTTATGCAACTATGAATAAACATTGGTATAGAGCCTTGCCCAGGCCACTTTTAGTAACGTGAGTTTTGCAAAGGGAAGCACAAATTACATCAGGCTTTTAAAAGGGTGCAAAATTAGGGAAAGATCAAGATTATATATCGGGATTTATATGACTCAAGCTGTTTTCCCTTTGGCTCCTGCTAAGTAAGTTAAGAGTCACAAGTCCTGCCCTATAAGCAATAGTCTAAAAACAAGGGGAGCGCACATCAAAATTATACAGTTTGATCCCACCACATTGACTGAAGTCCTTAAAAGGATTTTTGAATTAATAGGGGTTTTCCAAGTAAAAATCTTAGATAAAAATATACATCTCACATGTCATTGTTCTGAAGCAGCAGCTTTGCATGATCCTTCAATGGAATGCATAGGATGCTATATAAAGTAGTTAAGTGCAAGCATCTTCGCCAAGCTACCTCCTCTACCTGAAAACCAGCTCAGCTGCAGCAATTTCACACTTCAGCCTGATCTGGTACAGAAGAGGCAGGCTATTCAAAATCTTCTATCTGTCCTAGCTTGCTATATAGATGGATTGCAAATTCTCCCCAAGACATTTTTCGCCAAGTACAATCAGCGTCTCTATTCCTTAAGAGGAAAAATAGCTGTATGCTCATTCAAAACTTCGAAAGCCAAGAGCATCAGCCAAGGTTCTAAAAGGGAACAAAAGCTTGCTTTAGCATCATAATGTCTTGGTTGTTTTCATGAAAGGACCAAGTTGCTAAGAGAAAGAAATATTCGTACCATGTGCTTCCAGACCATGTTGTGTACTATTTCTTAAACTAGCTGAATTATCTTTGTAAAGCAGCCCCACCACCCGCAAAGCAAGGCCTCCTACCCAAGTTACCAACTGACCATGCAAGTGAAGCCAAGAGCAAAATCCAGATCTCAGTTTATCTGAGTGACTTTCAGTTGCCATTTGTGGCTCTGTGAAGTTGTTGCTCCACTCAGAATGGGCTGGTATTAAAAACAAAACAAAACTCCATATATCAGAGAAAGTAACCCCATCACCCATGCAGAAAAACTGCATAAAGTCCTTCTGGTATTTTTATAAAAACTGTGCACTTTACTGAAAAAATATAGCTCTATAGTAACGATAATATATTACAAAGCTAAAAAACCCCTCCCCCCCTTTACACTTATTTCAGAGAAAACCAATTTTGCACATAAACATTAATTCTAAGCAGAGATTATTGCATCTAGGATATATATATATATATAATACACAGAGTAAAGCTTAAATAGTTTTCACAATCATTAGGAGTTTCATTATATTAGTGTTTTACATATAAAAAGAAGTTACCCAAAACAGAGCAGCCATCTTGGAAACTATAAATAGTTCTATTAAAAACAAACACATCTTTGCTTTTATTTTGGAAAAAAATACATAAATATCTTCTTCTCTTGTTTAGTATCATTTATGATATGAACGTAGAAAGCTGAAACATTCTCAGGTTGTGCAATCATTGATCTGAAATGCTATCTTGGTAGAAAGATGTCCAGCAACAGGAAGGGAGGAACTACAAGTGAAATATTTATGAATGACTATAAAACAATTTTATTATTATTATTAAGCAGTATTTTGATGGATTTTATAGGCAGCTATTGACATTTTTAGTGAAACCCTCTTCACTAAAAGTATCCTATTACAAAATGGAAGACATGATATTCCTCTAACGATTTGCTTTTATAGGTGACTGAGTACCAGCTCCCTAAGAAGGAAATCTGAGGGGAATCCTTTACATATAACCGCTTCTCTCAGCAAGGCCCAAACTACAGGCAGAGCTACTGAATAATTTTCTCAAGACCCAAGACTAATTTATGATGCATGTAGTGTAGGAAATTTCATAAATAACTTTGTTGTTGTTGTTGTTTAAAAAAAAAGATGACAGTGACTAGTCACATCTTTTGTGATCCCTAAGTAGGCTATGGGACAGTCCTCTTAACACTTTCTATAAAACAAGGTAAGCTGAAGCACTGCAACCAAATGCAAGAGTTTCATATACAATCCCCTTCACCCAAATATAAAATTCAACAAATTTTCCTTTCCATATTTAAAGCACATGCTACTTTGTGTGGGGTTTCCCTTCCCCATCCTGGGATTCCGAATGCTTTATTTATTTTATATCCTCATTCGTTAGTAGGAAGGGCTGGAAAGGAGGGTTTAAAAAACAAACAACAGTTTGACATTAGATCCAAAAGAGTATTTGTTTCAGAGCATTTTGTCCATGGTCCAAATGCTTTTTTTTTCTTTTTTTCTTTATACAAAGTCTATTTCTGACTCCCGAGTTGGTACATCAAGCACTGGCAAGCCTTAGGCGTAGAATTCATTTGTAGGAGCTTTCTTGTAGATGGGCTTCTTGCCAAGGTCATAACTGCCCTCATCCTTCTTCTTCATGCGGTAGATTAGGAGCAGGACGAGGAAGACAGCAAACAAGAGCCCAACTGCTCCACCTGCAATAAGAGCTGAAGTGGGAAGGGATGGAAGGAAGAGAGAAAAAAGGAAGAGAAAGGTGGAATAAATGCCATGGAAACCTGAACAGCTCTGCAGTGATATTTAAATTCTGTCCAATAGTGCAACTTCACCACTGCCGATTTTAGAAATAGCTACAGGGAACCACTTTCTATCCTGCTTTAGTTCTGACTCTGAATAAATATCATCCACTATATAAAACTGGAATTTACACTAAAAAAACCAAAACAAATAAAAGCAGGAAAGCTACCGTCACACTTCTGGCAGAACAGTGGATGCCTGGAAAATGATCCTGGAAAGCTTCTAGTCAGACAGGAAATGAGAAATCCTTTTTTTAAAATTATTATTTAGCTTTGAAAACTAGGTGAACAGCCATTCAGCAAAACATATTAAATGTTGGGGACTGGGGAAAGACACTGGATAACTGTCTGTGCAGTCATTATATTGCAATTCGTATTTTCCAGAATTATCCTGAAATGAAGAGGAAATGGAGGATTTGGTAGATCTTCAGTATTCCAAAATCTCTATCCAGCAGTCAAGACGGCTGCACTTATCCATGGATGATGTGGGTCTGCCTATGTCTTGCACGCATAACCTGTACTCCTATTGCTAGAGAACAGTTCATGTATCCGAAATCGATCAACATAAGCTACTATGCAGATGCAATAGCTTTTCTGGAGGCAGCAGAGCAGCAAAGCCTGCTGAGACAAGCTTCCATCAATAAACTCACTTCTCTGAACCTGGTGAAGATCATGGATCATCAATTTGGGGAGGGGGGGAATCTTTATCAGAAGACTTTAATTTTTATTACATTGCTTAATCAAATGTGCCCCTTCTGGTTTAAGCAGCAATGCATATGGGACACCAAATTCTGTAGAAAGGTTCAACTTATATGTCCTAACACCTCATACACATTCTCTTTTTTAAAATAATAGCTATGGTGACTGGGAAAAAGTAATTTTAAACCATTACTCTAATAATTCTGTTTTTCTTTAAGATTAAAATTAGCACTGAAGTATTATAATTTGTGTCTGTACAGGACATTCTTGATTTAAAAAAAAACTTTGCTTCAGAAAGTATGGCCTTTTCCTTAGTTATGGAGAGCCAAGTTTATCCATCCATTCAAAGGGTGGTTTACCTGCAAGCACTTCTGTTCTCTCGAAGATGCTCCCATTGGCTGTGCTGGCCATTGAGACCTTGTTAGACAGGTCTTCTCCTTCAGGAGATGATTTTTTGGGAACAATAATCTCATTGTCTATCACAGCCGGTTCAGTTTCATCCTTGGCATCTTTTTTGGAGTCAGGAATAGAGTTGTCCATGGAATCCTAGTAAAGAAAAGAAAACATCAATCCTACCTTTAATGTACAGTTGAGAGCAGTAGTACAATGAGTGCTGTTGAGCATTTTTAAAAGCCAGACTTTGCTACTACCCACCACCCCCTTATTCCAAGTGTTTCTATTTAGGGCTGATCACACATTTGGAGGCAATATAATGAAGACTGGCCCAAAAATCGGAAAGTAAAGGACAGCTCCTTTTTGGAATCAGTTAGGTAAGCAACTAGCGTCACACAATACCTATGGACATTAATAATGCTATTAAGGGTTTCTCTCCACGCCTTTTTTTTTTTTTTACTTTAAGAGTGGAAGAGATAGAGGTTTGTGGTAGGTAACTAGGTAGATACCCGGAAGGTATGCCTTACAGGTCATCTAGGCCAACTGCAGCTGTGTCAGAATCCACTAAACCATTAAAGCTGGCACCTTTAAGATGTGTGGACTCCACCTCCCAGAAAGATGCTGGCTACAGAAATCTGGAAGTTGAAATTCGCATATCTTAAAATTGCCAACTTTGAAAAACACTGTATGAAACCATGGCTATCCAACTGCAGCACTAGAAAAGACCTTCAGAAGTTCTAAGGAGACTCGTTCTATTGCTTAACTATATTTATTGCCAGGACATTTTTCCAAATAATCCATCTAGGTTTCTATTCTTTAATTTCATTCTTTCTTTCTTTAATTTCAATGCATTGTCCCTTGTCCTGCCTTTTGTTTTAACTGAGAACCAAGTTTCCCCCTCTTGCATGGGACAGACATTTATATATCTCTAAACTGCTTTTCCTTTTGTATGTGAAACATTCTATTTCCATTAACTTTACTCACATGGTTTAGTTTTCAATCCCTTTTATGATTCACACACCTTGCTTTTCTATCTTCCTTTTCAAAAGTGGACACAGTACTCCTAAGTATAATCTAACCAGTCCAGAGTAAAACTGGAAATCACCTTCCGTGATTTGAACATGCTACTATTAATGCATTGAAGGTATTTTTCATTTTCAGTGGATCATTCATGGTGAAAGGTAGGAAAGCCAATGACCAGCTGCTTCAGAAATTCAATTTCAAATGGAAATACCTACCATAGTGCTACTGGTGGCAGAAACCAATTTATCCTCCATATCTGTATAACCTACAGGAAAGAAAATAATATTTAATCCTTGCTAATATTAAAATTGTGAAATGCAGTATTTCAAACAATTGTTAGCTTAATTTCCCAAATTCTTTTGGCTAGTTTGGACCAGATCATGCACACTCCTCTATCAAATACTTCCGTCTCACTAGATCTTGCAACCAGTTACAAAGACCTGAATTACAAGTCATTCAAAATGTATTTTGGCTTGCCTTGTAGAAAATCTGCTGGTTCTTTTAAACACCCATTTCTTGAAGGTGGTAGAAGTCCTTGACTCATATTAACCACCAGATTTGCCTCAACTTGCAGTGTGCTAGTTTCACAGAGTTTGTTTTTCTTGAGAACACAGTGTACATGAGGGCAATGCGTTGTTAAAAAGAGTTTGTGTTGAGAATTTGGGAAGAACCAAGACTACTTTGTAGATTAGTTGCAAACAGAAGAAAAAAACAGAGAAGGGAAAAAAGTCATCTTCAGAAAAAAAGTGATAATACAATGGGATGTCAAAAGACATGCCCCCCCCCAAAAGAGTTTTAAAGACGTATCAAATTAACCAGAGGATAGCAGTTTTTCTTGAAAGGTGATTTAGAAAATTCAGACAATATGAGACTCTCCCATTGCTGGGCATGTGGAAACAAGGGTATTGGAAGCATTACAAGTTAAATATGTGAACCAGGTGGGTTACATTTGAATGATTAGAAAATATGAAGCAGCAAGTTCTCCAAAGTTCTTGAATTCTACCCAGCTGAGGAACCATTTTGCATAGACATATTCCCAGGTCAAAGCCAAGAAATTCAATACTGTCATCTGAAATTTATTAGATAAATGGTATTCAGCAAAGTAAACAGCAGCACAGTAAGTCTAAATTGAAATGTAACGTCAGATTTATGAACTATGGTCTTTTACATATTGAAACACCATAGTTAGCAAAAACAAAACAAAACATGAATTTGACCAGGAATTAATTCTGAGAAAGACCTACCTTGTTCATCTCCTGAACCTGAAAACTCATCATCTTCATAATAATCAATTGTTAAGTCTGACCTTGCATCCTCATCATCTGGCAAGTCACCAGATGCAAATTCCTCTATGTTCAGTTTTGGATCCATAATCTCAGTTTCTCTCACCTAAAAAAAAGAGAGAGAGAGAGAAATGAATAACTGAAGACCAATGTCCAAGCAAAGGGTTTGCAATACAAGGAGCCATTCAAAATTGTGACTTTAACAGCTTGATTTGACGACTCAGAACATGTGACCAAATTTCATGAGTATTTGAGAGCTGTATATATGCCAAAACAACAAGAAAATTATTGAAGATTGAAGATTTACTGGGGGGTGGGGGCGTGGGGGGAGGAAGAAACATTGGTACCTCTGCAGAAAACCACAAGGGAGGTGAAGATTAGTAATATATCTAATTGGGACTGTATATTGAGCAATATTCATGCCATTCAAACTCCTTTGTTGACAAGGATTTAAGCTGGGATTATCAGATCATCACTTTAGAAACAGGACCTAATTTGTTTAAAAACCCAGATCCAATAAGAAAGAATGCAGTAGTATAATTTGTTGTACTTGTGCTGCCATTCCTCCATAGTTAATTTTAAAGATGGAAACAAGATTTGATACAGTGGGCAAAACGGAATGGCTTTTTTACAGCATTGTCACTAATTCACTTTTTTGCCAAACATCATGCAACCAGCTTTTATTTTACTTGTATACTGCTAAATGAGCCAAGTGTACTTTTTTCCTCAGACTGTGAATGCTAATGTCTAAAGCCAGGTATATTTAAAGAAAATTATTTACTTCTCTGAGGCCTTTACCTATAATATAATAGTAAATATTTTTAAATGGGACTATTATATTCAAGTTAAAACTGATAGATTTGTTTGTACCTCAATCTGAAAATTTAGCTGACAGAGGATCAAAGGGGTTAGTCTGTAAAAAAAATATTAACTCACTTGAATTAAGTGTTCCATTAAGAACATTTACCCTTTATAAAGCAAACTCAGCAACTGCCCTTTGAAAAAAAAAATTTTTTTTTAAAAAAAAGGCTTCAATGCTGGGGCCTAATAACAGCTACAGATATAATGCTAGCATTGCAACAACCGATAAGCTACTCTACAATACATAAAAGCCAAAGTGACTTTGCCAAGGTTGAGATATCAAACTACATGATTTTATCAGAGCCCATTTGCCTTCTGCCTTCAAGGAACCAGAGAGGACCTGTATTACAGTGCTACGAGATAAGCCCACTTCCTGCTGAATACCACTGAACCTTGGATAGCGCAGTGACTGGGGCATTGCAATTTAAAATTGCAGGCGACTCCATTCCAAAATCAGTGGGTAGTTCTGTTACTTTGATAACTTGTGGCCTTGCTTTTGAAAACAAGTTGTCCATCTGCCTGAACAGAAGTATCAGAGTTTGCTGGCAAGTATAATTTAATCCATTCATTTAGCAGCAGCAGCAGTAACAACTTGCAGTGTGCAGAATGGGAAATGGACTAGAATGAGCCTTTCAGATTCTCCTATCCACAGCCCCAAAGGTTGCACCATCCATTAGAATGTCCTTCTAGAATGTTTATGTGTCGAATTACAGCTTTGAGAATTAGATCAAAGTACCTGATACAAGCTCGGTAGCACTTACAGAGGCTGCCAAATGTCTTTAGAAATTCCAAAACAGCAAGGTATGGCGGTATGCCAAGCTGCAGAATCTAGAGCAGGGGTGTCAAACTCGATTTCATTGAGGGCCGCATCAGAGTTTGACCTTGGGGGGGGGGCCGGGGGGGGGGGCGTGGCCAGTTCAACATTACTCGTGTTGGGAGCGCCTGTGGTGGCCTGAGCACTCTGCCAGCAAAAACGGGCTTCCGAGCTCCATTTTCGGCTGTGATGGCCTCCTGCAACCCTCTGCCAACAAAAAAGAAGCTCGGGAGGGCCGCACACAGCCCTCCAGAGCTCTGTTTTCACTGACAGAGGCACCAAGGGCCGGTCTTTCACTGTTTCCAAGGCAGCCCCATGGGCCAGATCTAAGCACTCTGCAGGCCAGATCCTGCCCCCGGGCCTTGAGTTTGACACCCCTGATCTAGAGGCTCTGAATAAATCTTGCATGATCAGAACTCTGCAAACAGGATATGTTTTGCTAGCAAGTTTTGGCTTCTGATGCCAGGGGTATTGGGAACTCTTTGTGTATGTCACTCATGAACTCATACACTGTGATTCACTTTTGTCCTCTTTGCAAAACAGACATAATGGACACACCTATATATGCCAACTCAGACTGCATTCACTTTATTAACTCATCAATGCAACTTTTCTTCAACAGTCATTCTGTTGCTGATAAGAGATTTGAAAAGACTGAACAGATTTTACTACAAAAAAAGAGTTGAAAACAATAGTTGGTGTGTGTATTAACAGAGGATAAGCAAGGTCAAGGACCAGACATATATAATCACATGACTTCTAATTAGCAACTACAGGAGTTTAACTGAAAGAGTATAGATAGGTTTTAGTGGTAAAATGGGGCACGTTACACAATCAAAGACTTCATTCAAAAATAATGTGTTTCTCAAATGTTAAGACCATCAACACCAAGCTATCAATATATATATAGACTCTATGTAGAATATTAACTCTTTAAAAAAAGAAAAATATAAATATTGGCATAAAATATGCTTTAGAAATACTCTTTCCCACTTATATTTAATACCTTGACTAAAAAGGTTTAATTGCATGCATGCTCTTGCAGCTAATGAGATCTGTCATCAACTCCTAGAAGGATTTTAAAGTAGTAATCATAATTTTCAGACTCTTTTCAGATTTTGTTGTGGGTGTAGTAAGTGCTGAAAATCCACTTTCAAAAAGGTACATTAAAGGGAAAATCAGCTGAACTTTTAATAGCCTCTTTACTAAGAAAATCTCATTTTCTGAAAATATGAAAGTCCAAGTTTGTAAAGGATACATTAAAATACCTAGATATTAATCAATTTGTTTAATATAATGTTGAAAGTCTCTTTAGGAAATTTAATTACAGGTTACCCATCACAGGAACCTCAAAAAGTAGAAAGTACTTTTAGTCTAGTTATTCAATCTTGACTGAAGTCGGGCATCTTCACCATTCAGATCAGGGGTGTCAAACTGGCGGCCCATGTGCCGGATGCGTCACGTACAGGCCACACCCACCCCAGCTCTATGAAGAGGGAAAACGTCACAATGCATCATGTGATGGCAATGTGTCGCCGCAAGTTTGACACCCGTGATCTAGATGAAGGCCTAGTCACAGCAAGATCTGCCTTGTTAAGGCAGCCATATTTCTTTGCTCTTTGCCATGTGACATATTCTTGATCTTCGGTTAGCTTCCAAAGAGTCCTTCATCTTATCTGACATTCCATATATCCTGCACTGTTTTATTTTGACTGGGATTGTGCAACATTCTTAATCAGGTCAATAAGAGTCTCAGTGGCTATATTCAGACAAAATAGTATGCTGTTTAGTTTTAACCTGATCCTTTACCATATTGGCCACTCAATCTGGCCTGTTTGATTAGTTTATGGTTCAGTGCTTTAGCACACAGATATGTCCACAAGAGTCCATCTGTCCCATGTATGTGCTGTCAAAATCTGTAAAATGATTTATCACGCCATTGCCACCATCTTTCAAATTTTGATATACACATTCCGCAAAGAGTATATCCATGAAATGAACAAGAGTTGAACTCAACTCAAAAAATGACTTATTTTTTTACTGTACCAAGAAACCCAAAGGGTCAACTAAATAACCAGATTAAACAAGTGAACAAAGTTTTCATTTGAAACAGGATATCTGATTCACTCAGAAACACAATGCTGAGGCATAAAGAGCATTAAACAATGTACTTTCTATGAGTAATACAAGGTTTATTACAAATTTCGTATGAATAGACCACACACTTTCTCCAAAACACATCCCATATGCAATTTTAATTACACAATTCTATGCGCTCAGGAATTTTAATGCCACAGTGGTCAAGGTACGTGACTAGGAGGAAGGAGACCCAGAGTGACTTTGAGTCAGTCACTCATTCCCTCAGGCCAATCTACCTCAGTTTTTTTGTTGAGGGGAAAGTAGGAGGATAGGAGATATATGCAGCCCCCAGATGAAAGACAGGATATACATCTAATATTTAAATTTAAATACATATTGGCTGTCTTTTCTGATATATATTATTGTCTTGCTTTCCTCCCCCCCCAAGAATTTCAGCTTTATAAAAGTTGTTTTTATATATTTTTATGTGTAAATATCCAGTAAATATTTAATTGGCAGTATATATGCAATCAGTTTGATTAACTTCATCTGGTCCTCTTAATATTCAACTCAAAGGGGGGAAAAGGTGGGGGTAGATATGTAAACATTGCTATTCTTCTTTAAAAAGAGCCCCAAGTTTCAAATGATTTACTTTGCTTGAACAAAGCCCTCCAAATTTGCTTTTTGTAAAATAAGCTGGCAACTTTACATGGGATCCATTAGGCTGTCAGTCATCAGTTTTTTCCGTACCAGAAATATTCACTAGATATATACTGCATTGAAAAAAACTAGTTAAGAACAGAGTTGCTATACATTCCATTTTTTTTCTATAGCTTTCAGATTCTTATGAAGAGGAACAGGGATGGTATACTTGATTTGCTGGCTATGACCTGCTTTATTTTATTTTTATTTATTTATTTATTTATTTATATATTTATTTATTTATTTATTTATATATGTAGGTCTTTGGTTATTCGGGTCTTCTCCCACGTAAAATTGGAAGTGTCTTGGCGACGTTTCGACGAAGTCTCATTCGTCATCTTCAGGCTGGTGTTCTCGGCTTCGTGCTTCCAGGAGCAATGTGAGTTCGCAGCTGTCTCTTCCTTTTAACTGCTGGTGGGGGTGTGAGCTGATTGGGTGGGGACTTGGCTGTGTTCTGATTGGGTGGAGGTGTGTTCTGATTGGTTAGGAGCTTGGCTGTGCTCTGATTGGATGGGGGGTTGGTTGTGCTCTGATTGGCTGGGGGTGTGTTCTGTTTGGGTGGGGGCTTGGTTGTGCTCAGCTTAGTCTGAGTTGCAGGGGGATTTGAGCTGGTGAGCTGCGTTGTTGTTGTTTGGCTTCGTGTTTGTGGC